AGAGAGAGACAGAGAGAGAAAGAGAGAGAGAGAGAGAGAGAGAGAGAGAGAGAGAATCCCAAGCAGGATCCATGTTCAGCATAGAGCCTGACACGGAGCTCCATCTCACAACTGTGACATCATGACCTGAGCCTGAATCAAGAGTCAGACACTTACCCAACTCAGCCACCCAAGCACCCCTAGAGAGACACTTTTAAATTATCAAGATCATCACATACTGTGTATTGCTAATGAACACTGGAAAATACAGTGGTCATACAAAATGTACCAACACGAACAGCAGCAAAACACCTAATTCTTTTGCAACATCCTAAAATGGCTGTCATGTCTTACTAAATGACTAGGTAATTCTCTTAGGAAACTGAATGTTAACTAGAAAATCTTTTGAGTTCCAACACTCACAGTTGACAATCATTGCAAAAACTAGTTATATCTTTGTCTCGGTAGCTATAAATACTGAATATAATTTGTCTCTCACCCGAAGGTTTGTACAAAATATATTTTGAGAAAAAACTGCAATCAGACTGAATTTAGAACAAAGTACGAAAATTAGTTTTTAAACAAATACCTAACAGCAAGTTAAACAGCTGACACTTAATTCCTTTTAGAAAGACAAAAAATAAATAACTGCATCAACTGATATTTCACTGCAGTAGAGAAACCAGAAATAATATACTTCCCTATGGCTCCATCTGCAAGAGTAGGCATTCAAAGTGAGAAAACAATGCGTCCATATGGGACACGCCATTAACAAAATTTGGGAACTTTATAAAATCTACTTATGATCTTTCTCCAGGCAAACCAGTTCATCAGACCTAATTAAAGATAACTGGAGTGCATTTTAACCTTCCAAAGTCTATGATGACGTGACAATCAATAAAGTTAAAAAAGCAAAGACTTCAGAGTCAGAGAAACCTAGGTCTTAAACCTTAGGCAAGGTCCTTAAACTCTTAGAGCGAATATCAACTTCTTTCTCCACCTATAATAACAGGAACACTATCTCACATTGTTGTTCTGAATTAAATGTAATACACTATCTTTCATCATAGTACCAGTTACACAAAAGGCACTCAATAAATGGCACTTCATATCATAAATTACATGAAAATATTTAAGTCAAATATGGCTACTTCCATATTTTGGTAGAACTTTTATTATTTTTTAATGTTTCTTTCAGAGAGAGTGAGAGAGAGAGAGAGAGAGAGAGAGAGAAAACAAGCATGCACACACAGGAGAAGGGCAGAGAGAGAGGGAGACACAGAACTCGAAGCAGGATCCAGGCTCTGAGCTGTCAGCACAGAGCCCAATCTGGGTTCTCGAACTCATGAACCGCAAGATCACGACCTGAGCCGAAGCTGGTCACTTAACCACCTGAGCCACCCAGGCGCCCCTAGAACTTCTAGTTTTAATTCCTGGTAATACAGAATTTAGTTGTTTGATCCAATAAATGATCCAGTGATAATTAAACAACATTTCTATTTTTCCAGATTACCTACTTTACTTCACAGTCATCGAACACAGTCTTTGTCTATCTTCAGAATGTTGATAACCTATTAGAATACTCTGCCTTTAACGTGTATAGGACCCCCTATGAAACCTTTCAACTTAGCAGCATTTGGCTTCACTCTGAAGTCACAGTGGCAGCCACTCAGTGTAGTTAGTTGTACATATTTCTATAATTTCATCCATTCATTTAATAAATATTTACTGAGGGTCTATCATATACCAGGCTCTGATGCAGGCTCTGGGGATGAAGCAGTAAACAAAAGAGGCTAATTACCCCCTTTTCATGGAGTTTGTAGTCAAGACAGGGAGAGGAGGGAAGGGCAGAATATAAGATCATCTATATTATGTTGGACTGTGATACACACTATATACAAAAATCAAGCAGTGAGAGACAGAATGTAGGATGAAAGGAGAAAGTGATTTTTGTTTCATTATTTTTTTTTTAATTTTTTTTAATGTTTTATTCATTTTTGAGACAGAGAGAGACAGAGCATGAGCAGGGGAGGGGCAGAGAGAGAGGGAGACACAGAATCCGAAGCAATTCCAGGCTCCGAGCTGTCAGCACAGAGCCTGACACGGGGCTCGAACTCAAGAACCATGAGATCATGACCCGAGCCGAAGTCGGACGCTTAACCGACTGAGCCACCAGGTGCCCCTTGTTTCATTATTCTTAAAGGATCATCTCCCCAAAACTGTGTTTGCTTTTTTAAAAACATTCAATTTATTCAAACTAAAAAAAAAACAAAACCAGTTCATCCATTTCTCCTACCCCTTGTCTCTGGCAACTACCAAACTGTTCTTAGTATCTATGATCTTGGTGTTTTGTTATTGTTGTTGTTTTTCAGATTGCACATATAAGAAAAATCTTATGATGTTTGTCTTTCCCTAACTTACTTTACTTAGCGTAATAGCCTCAAAGTCCAGCCATGTTGTCATAAATGACAAGATTTCATTCTTTTATGGCTGAATACACCACCAGTTCTTTATCCATTCATCCCTCAGTGGACACGTAGGTTGCTTTCATGTCTCAACTATCATAAATAATGCTACAATGAACAGAGGGGTGCGTGTTTTCAAGCTGGTGTTTTTGTTTCCTGCAGGTAAGTACTGAGAAATGGAATTAACAGATTATCTGGCACTTCTATTTTTAATTTGTTGAGGAAACTCCATACTGTTGCTCACAGTGACTGCACCAATCTGCACCAACAGTGCATGAGGATTCCCTTTCCTCCACATCCTTGCCAACACTTGTTATTTCTAGTCTTTTTGATAGTAGCCACTCTAACAGGTATAAGGTGATAGATGACACATTTTGGTTTTGTATTTCCCTGAAGATTAATGATGTAGAGCATATGTGGTGGTGGTCACGTACATGTCTTCTCGGGAAGAATGTCTATTCAGGTCCACTGTCCATTTACTAATTGGAATGTTTGTTTCTGTGCTATTGATTTGTAGGAATTCTTTACATATTGTGGAGATTAGTTCCTCATCAGATAGATGATTTGCAAATATTTTCTCTCACTCGGTTGGCTGCCTTTTCATTTTATTAATGGTTTGCTTTGCTGTGCAGAAGCTTTTTTGTTTGATGTCATCCCACTGTTTCTTTTTGCTTTTATTGCCTTTGCTTTTGGTGTCAGTCCAAAAGCCAGCACTAACCACTGTCAAGGAGCTTCCTGCCCATGTTTTCTTCTAGGAGTTTTATGGATTAAGGTCTCAGGTTCAAGTCTTTAATCCACTTTGAGTTAGTTTTTGTGTATCGTATCAGTTAGTGGTCCAGCTTCATTCTTTCGCATGTGGCTGTCCAGTTGTCCCAACATCATTAGTTGAAGAGACTGTCCTTTCCCCACTGTACATTCTTAGCTTCTTTGTCGTAAACTAACCCCCCACCTAAGTGTGGGTTTATGTCCAGGCTCTCTCTCCTGCTCCAGTAATCTATGTGTCTGTTTTTATACCAACACCACACTGCTTTAATTATGATATCTTTAAAACTGTATGTTAATTATACTTCAATTTTTCAAAAATTGTTTAAAATATTACTGTAGCTCTTTGAAATCAGGGAGTGTGATGCCTCCAACTTTAGTCATTCTCAAGATTGCATTGGTTATTCTAGGGTCTTTTATGGTTCTATACAAATTCTAAATTTGTTCTATTACTATGAAAAATACAGCAACTCTCCTTTTTAAAAAACATATGGTCCATGGCAAAATAAAATCTAAAACTCTTCTGGATATCAATTACCAAAGGATATAGTCAAAAATAGCTACCTCTTAGCATGCAACAGTACACCCAGAGGGCCAGTAGTATAAAAACAACTGTTGATTCTCAAGGAGTAATTTTTTTGTATCAATAAAATAAATTCTTACCTGGGAGCTGAAATGGACTTCCTGGTCCAGAACTTGCTGGGGAATTGGGATATGTGCTGCTAGCGGGGGAAGGCGGATAAGGGCTATTTGGAGATAAGGGGAAAGGAGTGTTGTTGGGCTGGTGGAAAGAATCTGGAAACGTTGCATTTTGTGGCATGTGCGGCTCGTTGTGGCTCAGGTTTCTAAACTGAACCAAAAGGCTGTGTTGTGGATTGAATTCATTGTGACGAGGCACTAATACTGGAGGTAAGACTGAAAGACAAAAATCAAAAGTCATCTGTCAGCAATAACTAAAGCAAACATCCCATACACATTAAAGGGTAGATAGAAAGGATTCAGTACAATTATAAGCCTATTAAAACAATTCACTTTCAGGAAGGGCTGCTCTGTAGAACCTTGAATGTGTATTTACATAATAACTAAACCAAAAACTCTTTAAGGATTTAGGCCTGTATACAGAACTCTGGAAAACAGAAAACACAGAGAAGACACCACTCCTGTTCAATAGGAGAGAAGGCGTGTTTAAAAACAATACAGAGAATTTAATGCAGTGAGAATTCAAAGAGGTGAGCACTTCCAGCTAGCAAGGGATCAAACAACACACTATGGGAAAGACAATACCTGATGGGACCTTACAGAATGAGGGGTGTCAGGGGCAGAGATAGTAGAGGAGGAGATGGGGAGACTCCAAGAGGGAGACAGGAAGGCACAGACAGGTGCCCCAAACACTGAACTAGGAGCTGAGATTAGAGAAAGACGTTGACGTCAACTATGAAGATGCCTTGAAAGGCTCTATGTTTTCAATTTTGAACATTTCATTTTTCTTAGTTTGAGAGATAACACATTTTAGGTTCTTCAGTAAAGTTCTCCCTAGTGAAAACAGTCACATTTCCTAGGCAGAAATCTTCCATTCAACATCAGTTTTCTAAACATGATCATAATGAAAATACATCCAACAAAGCCTAAGTATTTTAAGAGACGTATTTTTAAAGAGATGAACTTTATTCAAACATTCACTTTCTTTAGAGACCCAAATGACCAATCACGTAGAAATGCCTACCATTCCCTATAGGAAATCAAAACAAACCTCATTTCTTTAAACTCCTACTGGAAGTACCAGTTTATCTCTTTTACAACTTTCCCGTATTTGTCAGCGCAATTTTACTTCCAACAATCTCACTTTGACTCTGACACTATTCAGCAGCAATAAAATCAATCTGTTTTTAAGTTAACTAGGTCATAGTAGAGATGTACCTGAGGAATCAGAGGCTATAGAAGTCAGCATTTGTACTGTTTTTTTGTATCTTTTCTTTGTACTGAATCAGTGTTGTAATTACATATTTAACATCTGATTACAACTGTTTTGCTCGACAGTATATTACCAACTGCTGTTCCCTCACAGAATGATGGGACAGCTGCCACAGGAGAGCAGGGCATTAGACAGTAAGAATTTCTATGTTTAGCTGGCTAGCAATCTGAAAGACTTAGTGAAATAACTATTTAAGAATTCAATCTAGTAAGGATTCCTTTCCTTCTTTTTTTTAGAGGCAGAGCTAAAATCAGTGACTTCTCTCTTTATATTATTTTTACACACTACTTATTTAGAAATTATTTTATTTTCATGCAAAATACATGGATACTTTAAAAAGAAGCTACAAGAGATAAACACAGCAATTTCTAAGCCTTCTATACTGCTTTCAGAGACAACAAATTTAAACTCTTACCCATTTCTTCTAAAATTTACTTTGTGCATTGCTAAACAGTATGCTTATATTGCTCTTATTAATTTGTGAAGACACTGCAGATTTGCTCTTGTGGCAAAGGAAGTAGCTTTCTTCTATCATTCTACCCCACTCCCATTCCCCTTCCCCACAATAAAGTTCCAAAAAAACTTTTGGTTAAATGTACAAATATTCAATCCTGAACCAGATATGTACTATGATTATATGTTTTCTTGAACAGTGCTTTTAATAAAGCTGATTATTGACCTGTTCCTTCATTTGTTTAATCTTAAGTACGTACCACTGGTATTTCCAGGGTCTAAGAGTTTTGTCAAATTCCAGTCAATACTATTTTCCAGATGCTACAAATAAACAATCTACTAACTCATTTCTTCCCCTGGACCCTTCGCCCTTCATTCTTCTACAATCTACACTGGTTGCTATGTTAAGTCTCCTAGAGCTCTCAAGTCCTTAGATGTCCCTTCTCTTTTCCCCTGCTGGATCCCATTTCCTAGATCTCATCCTCTATTAGTTTCCTAAAGAAGGGCAAAAGGAAGGTGAATTTTCAGTCCTTGCATACATGAAAATACCTTGTCTTTTGTTCATCGGCTGACAGATTCCAGAATAAACAACTTTTTCTCTCTTAATTTTGGGGGCACTGCTTCACTGCCTTCCAGAATCCAGAACTGCTTTGAGAAACCTAACAGTCTCACTTCCAGTCCTTTGTATATGTCCTTTCTTTTCTCTGTGGGAGCTTTTAGAATCTTCTTTTTTAACCGTGATATATCAGAATTTCACGCGTGGGTCTTTTTTTTTTTACTCTGACAGCACCATCACTGCCATTGTTTTTGCATTTTCCAGAGACTTTTTTTTTTTTTTTTTTTTTTTACCATTCTGGGCTTACATTATCTCCATGTGAAATCCAGACAGCCTCTAAGGTGGCCACTGTGGTTCCCAACTCTCAGTATTCACCCCTGCATAATCCTCTCCCTTTGAGTGTGAGTATTGTATCCGTGACTTGCTGCTAATAGAATGTGGCAAAGGTGACAGGATGTATGTGATGACACAGTATAAGAATGTAATGCCCTTCCATCAAGAAGACCCTCTCTCTCTTCTTGTCTCTGAAGTGGGCTGCCATGAATGTGAGCCACCTATGAAAAAGTGGCAAGCACATGAAGGCAGCCTCTAGTCAACAACCAGCAAGAAGAGTCCAAGAGCCCACAAGGAACTAAACCCTGCCAATAATCACACGAGCTAGGAAGCAGGTCCTTCCCCAGCTGAGCCTCACATGAAACCCACGCCCTGACCAACACTTTAAATAGAGTCTTGCAAAGGACCCAAATTAAGCCATGCCTGGACTCCTGGCTCATAGAAACCGAGATAGTAAACGTGTATTAAGCCCCTTAGCTTGTGTTAATTTGTTATACAGCAAAAGATAACAAATGTACCAAACTAGTATCTCAATTTATACAATTCATTCATTAAAACAAAACAAAACACAAAACTTACTGTGCATCATCTACTGAGTGCAAGGTAAGACTACTATTCTAAGCACTGCTGATGCAGTATAGAATGAGACAGAGGAAGTTCCTGCTTACATCAGTCAATAAATAAATGAAAAAGCTAATTCGGCATCAAGTAGTGATGGGGGTATTTGAGCAAGGGCTGATTAAAGTAAGAAAATGTGCCATGAAAAGATGGTAGGGGAGACGAAGTAGAAGAAATAGGAAAAAAAAAAAAAAAAAGTCTAGCTGCAGGGGTAGGGCAAGCCCATGGAAGAGAGGAAGTCTGAAGAGAGGTTATGTAGAAATCTGTTCTAAGTGTGATAAAAGTCTCTTAAGTGTTTTGAGCAGGCACTGACATAATTTGGCATCCTCTAAAGATCACTCTGGCTGCTGTGCAGAAAACAGAATGGGCTGGAGGGAAAGAAAAGAGGCAGAGAGACCTATCAGGCACTACTTAAGATGAAAGATGAATGTGGTCTATACTAGAAGAGTGGTATGAGAGATGGTAAGAAGGGACATTATCAAGATATATTCTGAAGGCAGGCAAAGAGCATTTGCTCATGGCTCAAATTCAGAACTTCGGAGAGGTAAGTAAAAGAAGACGTCAGTAGTGACTACATGAATGCTTGGTGCCATTTGCTTCAATAGGGAAAACTGGAGGAAGAAAGCACTTGGTGAGGGAAAAAATCAAAAGTCCTACTGAGATACAGTAAATAGGATATGTTTATGAGAGGGATCAAGTGGAGGTGTCAAGTGGGCAACTGGATACAAAAGTCTAGAACTCAAAGGAGAAGTTCACTCTGGAGTTCAAAATGTAAGCATGAGCTTTCAGACAGTTTTATGACAAGTGAGAGCTAACAGAGCCCATAGAGGAAAAATATGGATGTAGAAAATGTCTAGGAACTGAGTCATGTGAAAACAGGAAAATAAGCCAATGAAGAGACTAAACAAAAACAGCCAGTGAGGTAGGAGAATGAGAAAAGGGTAGGGTTCCAGAAGCCAAGAAAGAAACAGTTGTGAGCGGGAAGGAAGGAGATCAACCATCAAATGATGTTGAGAAGGAAAGGAAGAGGAGGACTGGGAATAAGCCCTCTATCCAGAAGAAGGCATCACAAGCAATCTTCACAAGTCAAATGGTAGGGAAGAGAGACCAACTAGGGAGGGGTGTCCAGAAAGAAGGGGAGGGCTAAAGTCCTGTGGAGGTAATAAAAATGGAGACTCCTATAAGAGGACTAGGGGAAAGAGTGCAGGAGACTGGGGGTGAGGCGATGTAAATGAGGTCAAGACCAGCATTCTTTCTGAACTTTTATTTTAGGATGGGCAGTATCAGGACATGCTTGTGTGCTGACAGAAACAGTCTAGTAGGGAGGGGAAATATAATGCTGGGGAGAGGGGGGTACCTGGAGGAACAAAGTTCTTGAATACACAAAAAGGAGTGGTATGCAGTACACACACGGAGCTCAGGTTTTAGATAAAATAGAAACATGTCACCCACAGGAAAGGCAGAGCACATATACAACTACCTCTGCCTGATTCACACACACATGACTGACTGCTTAAGGTGGACATGAATTAGAATTAGCCACTTGGGAGCTATATTATCTACATATAAAAAGCTAAATTCAAAAGCCACTATTCCTTCCGAGATTAAAATCTTTAAGAAGGAAACACAAGGCTAACATAGTCTTTTAACTACTAAATCACTGAAATGTAAATCAGCAAGAGACACGTTTGTTCAATTCTTCTTAGAGTAAAACCTACCTGGACTCTCCACTCTCTTATAGTGGTATGGGTTGATACAAACTTCCTTTTGCTTAGATCCAAAAGGAAATTCACAAATATCCAACGGCTTTAGCTCGTGATGACTCTGCAAATCAGGCCAGCGCCAAACACGACAATATATAACATGGGGTAAGCCTTTTCTGTGAGAAACCTGCAGGCGTCCATCTAAAGATCTGGGAATAGTGACACATTTGCTTGGCTGTCCTGGACTGCTCAAGGCTTTCTCCAGTTCTTCCATGGCACCCTTTTTCTTTTTTAACTTTTTCACCAAAGCATCGACTGCCTTTTCTGCCCATTTCTCCTCTTCATCACCTTGCTTCCAGCCCAACAATCGCTTTACTGCTGGACTAGTAAAGGAGAACAAGCTGGCCATTGACGTCATTTGATATAAATCTTCAGAGACCTTCCTGCAACTCAAAGTCAGTGGCTACTCAAAGAACAGCTCACAGATGAAAAGTCATATACAGGTTCTAAGCAGAAGTTCCCATTAAAAAGGGAGGAGTGACATTTATCTTCATAAGTGCCATAAAATTCTTTCATTGGTTCAAGTCCTGAAAGAGAGAGAGGAAAAAGGGTAAGATCCCTAACTTAAATGAACACAATTAACACACATCTAAATCAATATAAGCGAAAGGTATATTGTTTTTAAATGAGAACAGAAAACCATTACAAAGCAAACAAACAAACAAAAACCTAAGTCTAGAGAAAGAAATTTTCTCTAAAGTCCTGTGACCACTCACTTCCTTTCTTCATACGTGAACAAATAATTCACTGGCAATGCCAAACGATAACCAAAAGCAAAAACAGACTGCTTGCTCTACTTCCTATGTATTATCCAAAAAATAGCCTCTAAATGTTTCCTTTCCTCAGGCCAGTAAGCCCCCAAATGCCCTTGAAAACTTTTGATGCTGAAGTACTTCTCTTCACTGAAAGTCATGTCACGTTATGTCAATTTTGAACATGACATGTCCTAATCTGAACAAAAGTCTTCACATAAATCTAGCTTTCCCTAAGGTCATTATTGTCCATAAAATGTCTCACAGACTTTTAAGGTTTGGGCAAAAGCCATAGTACTACTTAAGTCCCATTATTAGAAACAAATTTTATCAAATTCTAGCTTAGTTTTTTTCTTAAGAGATAACAAGCCCTCAAATAAATCATAACACACATAATTGTCAGAAAAGTGGGAAGTATCTATTTTTAAAGCTAAGAATGCTGAGCAGATTTAAAGGGAATAAATGCAAAGTTTAACCCAGAAAAGGGCAGTTTATAATTTTATAATGCCCATTGCCTTCTGTGATTATTTTCAGCATATTAAGTTAAAGAACCTGCGCTAGGCAGACCGCCCCTCTGCACCCTTAAGAAGCTCTTGGCAATGATGACAAGAGGAAGTGATGTGCAGTGGCACCGCACTGATAAGAAGAATGGGTATAATTCCCTGTAGTCAATACACAGCCAAGTGCAGACAATGAGTAGCTGGTGAAACAGCACGAGTAATGTTTGGAAAAAGGATGTCAGTAACCAAAGATGCTTCCTTTCTTGTGCCCAACATTGCAAATAATGCAGCAGCTCTGCCTTTGACAAATTCTAGTCAACCTTACTGTCAAGACCATACTGGATCGGGATACATCTTCCCAGAAAAGAATATGTGCGTTCAGTTAAAACCCAGGTAAATATAAATTAAAACGGAGTTAAATTCAACAAATAATTACTGACTGCTTGTTACGTGCCATGTACAGTGAACTGCCATGATGGTGCTTAAGGAAGTCACTTCAAGTATGGCTTCATCTTAAGAGCCAACATGTACTTACTGAGAACCTACTAAGTGCCAAGCATTGTTCTGGATGCTGATCAACCAGCAGTGGCTATCCAGACTCCTATGAACCAAGGTTAGGACCTGGAACCATGCAGGGAAAGGTGTACAGAAGTAGAGGGAAACTCCTGTGTGGATGAACTTCCCCAGCCCAACACAGGATCATTTTAGCCAGGTAAGCAAAACTGGCTATATTAAACTAAAGAAATAAAACGAGAGACTGAAAGTGTATGTCGGTAACAGTTCACAGACTATAAAGTGTTATGTGCTAAACATAAAGAAGGGCTGAGCTCAGGTGTAGCTACCTCAAGGAAATAGGATAAAAGCCATTTGGGCCAGAGAGTAAACATAAGAAAGTAAAGCAAAATATGGTTTGCTTGTCAAGACAAGAGAAATTTCAAAGGCAGAGGAGACACAAACAACAAACAAAAATACGTGGGCAGACAAGAATAGAGCATTTCCTAAAATAGAGTAGACAGGTCTGGCTGGATTGAGATCTTTATTGAGTAACAGTGGAACATAATGATGAAGGCTAGACAGGGTAGTGCATGCGTGTAGAAGACAGAATAGATGAGCAATGGAGAGGTTAAGCTGAGAAGGGGAAGACAAATGGAGAGAAACTTAAAGACCAGATACCAGATTTGTAGTGAACCACCAGAAAATGCCTAATAAATTTTAACTACTCATCTAATAGCACTATCATCATCATCATCATCATCAAGTACTAACCATATTGCATATTTTAAAAAAGGAAAAGTTATTTATGCATGTAAATACAGAACAAAGTCTACAAGGCCACATAATTAATCACTGCATGGAATGGAGGAAAGGAAATAGAAAGGGGTCCAGTGTGATTTGTTTTATATACTTCTGCATTGTTTTAACCTTTTAACAAAGGGAATCTATTGACGCATTACTTGCATGATATTAAAATAAAAACAGTAAACTAAAATTATGGTGAACAGAATTGAGTTACGAGTGCTGGCACTACAAGGAGGCAAAACTAATGCATGCTGTGCTACAAGTCAGGGAAGGACAGTGGTTTCCCTTTCAAAGGAAGGATATTAATTAGAAGGGAATCAGAGTTTCTGCCATCCTGGTGAAGTTTTACTTCTCACTATGGGTGATTATATGGGAGAGCTCAGCTGGTGAAAATACAGCTGGTGAGATACTTAAGATGTGTACTGTGCACTCTTCTGTATGATTTAAAAATATTTTCTGGACAGACAAAAAGGATTGAGTGCTTAGTTTCCTTCCCATTTTTCTTCCCATCATCAATCAATTCCCCTTCTCAGAGATCATCCTTTTATTTTGTCCTTCATGGCCTTCCAGAGAAAATTAACACACACACACACACACACACACACACACACACACACACACACACCTTCATTGACATGAACTGTGGTATTCTAAAAAGAAAAAAGGTACAGAAAAACATATGAACGATATATCCTCCAGATCTTCCCAGAGCAATATAGAAAGAGCTCCCACATTCTTTCTTTTGTCAGTAACAGTTCACAGACTATAAAGTGTCTACAGAATTCTACACAGAATTCTAATATAAAAGTAACCTTCAAAGTATGTGAAACTCTGTCATACCTCTGCTCAAAAATTATTCTGTGGCTTCCCATCACACTTGGTATCCAAATTCCTTAACATCACTTTAAAGGGCCTACATGAGCTAGCCTTTGGCTTCTCCTCCAAATTCATTTCTTTTTGTTGTTATTTTTAATTTTTTTTTATTTTACACCCAAATTAGTTAGCATATAGTGTAACAATGATTTCAGGAGTCGATTCCTTAGTGACCCTTACCTATTTAGCCCATCCCCCCTCCCACAACCCCTCCAGTTGCAGATTCATTTCTTACCATTGTTCTAGCTAACTTAATCACCCTTGACTTCTTTCCATTTCTCAAGTGTTCCAAGATCATTTCTACCTCAGGGCCTTTGCACTCGATGTTTTCTCCCCTGGAATTCTCCCTGATCTTATTTAACACGCTTACTCTTTCAATTAATTCAGCTACTCAAATGTCACCTCGTGAAAAAGGACTTCCCTGGCCACTTTATCTAAAATAGTATACATCACACTCCCACATCATTCCCTAGTCCCTGATTCTGCTAAATTTTCATGGTATTTATTCTAACCTGACCAAGTTATCAATTTTATTACTTTTTAGATATTTTCCCCACTGAAATGTTACTAGGCAGGTAGCTTTATCTTCCTTATCCACCATCATAGTCCCCTGGACCTAGAACAGTACCTACTTATTCAGTGAGTGAGCAAGCAAGCAGTGAGTGAATGAGCTAAAGAAAAGCAACTTGGAAAAAAAGACATTCCTTTATAAGAGCAACTATATAAAAGTTAAAACATGGTATTTATGGATATGCACACATATGATAACAGAATATAAGTATGAATGAAAATGATACATAACCAATCTCAGGACACTGAGTACTGGGTACCACTGGTGAAAGAAGGATGAAGAATGGAAAAGCTTCAGCTGTGTTCTTTTAAAATGAGGTTTAAAAAAAACCTGGCAAGTAACCAGATATGTTATTTTCTCTCCTGTTTTCTATGTTTAAATATGTCATAACTCAAAACATTAACTATTTTTATTTATTTTTTTTAATTTTTTTTTCAACGTTTATTTATTTTTGGGACAGAGAGACAGAGCATGAACGGGGGAGGGGCAGGGAGAGAGGGAGACACAGAATCGGAAACAGGCTCCAGGCTCCGAGCCATCAGCCCAGAGCCTGACGTGGGGCTCGAACTCACGGACCGCGAGATCGTGACCTGGCTGAAGTCGGATGCTTAACCGACTGTGCCACCCAGGTGCCCCAACATTAACTATTTTTAATTTTTAAAAAGTAGTATGATGAAAACTGAAAATGACCAGATTCAGTCCTTTATAAGACAGAAGACCATGAGCAAGTATCATTCTTTCCAAGTCTACTAACTTATCTGTACAAAAAGGTAGATGGTTCCTAAGTCACTGAAATGTTTAAGTAAAAAAATGTGTGCACATATGTGTACCCACAGCACACATACAATAAATGCTTTATAAACTCCAAAGTGCTATTTAAACATGAATTATGGCCATTAGTATTCAAAGGAAGAGTCAAGACTTAAAAAAACCTAATGTACACACCACTGTACCACTATACACACTTTCTGATCCAGCACAAATTCCTGTACTTTTGCCCATCAGTGTCCAAGAGAAATCTCTGTCATCCTTAGTGATAAGCTCAAGTCCACCCCCCTTTGTGAAGAATTCCTTCACCAGCCTATTCTAAAAAGGCTATGGTCATTGAATATTTATCATAAAAACTAATTAATAAGACAGTGACAAGGGGGCTCCTGGGTGGCTGAGTCGGGTGACCGTCTTGATCTCAAGTTTCGTGAGTTTGAGCCCCATGTCAGGCTCCGAGCTGAAGGTGAGGACCCTGCCTGCTTGGGATTCTCTCTCTCCCTCTCTATCTGCCTCTCTCCAACTTGCACCCACCCTCTCAAGATCAGTAATTAAAAAAAAAAAAAAAAAGTGACAAGAACTATCTTAACTTCCCAAATGGAGTACAAAATCCTTCCAGGAGGAAATCTTCAGGACCTGGCACCATTCCGTGCATCGTATCACATACTAAGGGAGTATTTAATGAATGGTCATTGATTTTTCTATCAACTATACCTTGAAATCAAAGATAACTTCAAATAATGATAACCCCATTAGCAGAATCAAGG